AAAATGGGTGACATATACTGATTCTTCTAAAAAAATTGATGCCGCCTTTTTGCATCATTTAAGTCCACGATCTATCAAAACAATCTTTCTACCCATAGGAATAGGAGTAAGATCTCCATACGTCATATCATTTTTGAACCCCACTTCGGAAATTATGCTTTTGTTATTGTTGTCATATATATATATTGAGAAAACTACCTTTATTAAACATACATACATACCATATTATATTAATTCTACTTATACTTTTAAATATTTACGTATCTTACTTCTAATTAAGAGTTTTCTACCTATATTGAGAAAGATACATCTAGATACATGTATTTTTGCTATCAAATAAACTAAAATAGGGAGAGAGGTGAGGAAGATGAGAAGGAAGGCAAGTCATATAGTCATGAGGCGAGCGAGATAGTCATGCATCTCAGATACATGTATTTGTACGTATCTGATATGATTCGCATGTATCTGGGATATCAAATACATATGAGAGTGGCGAGATAGGAGGGAGGCGAGCGAGATTTGTTATGGATTGAGTGTATCTAGAATAAATTATATACCCCATTTTTGACTCATGTATCCCGAGATACATGTTTTGAAACATAAATGGATGCATCAAAATCTGATAAGATTTGTAATATTGAAAACTAAAGCCTATCTATGTAATTAGGTCCTAAACTAGTAAGATTTCTGTAAGTTTTATTTTGGGAAAATTGTATATAATAGCAAACTATTAGTTCAAATTAAATGTTATAACCACGGTTTGATTTAATTGTAACCGTAGCAAATTGTTGCGATTCGTCTCTCTCCCTGAAATTTTCGCTCGCCACTCTCCCTCTCTCGCTTGCCAGTCTCTCGTTCGCCTCTCTCACTTTATACAAACACAAATGTATAAAATGTGTTTCTGTTTGTATAAAGCGAGAGAAAATTGTATATACACATGCAAATACATATATCTTCATCATATACACTTATAATTATACAATATAAATCTTCCTCTGCCCAGTTCTCTTTTGCCTTTCTCTTTTTCTCGCTTTATACAAACACAAATTATACAAAATATAATGTATAATTTGTGTCTGTATAAAATGAGAGAGAGAGAGAGATTTGATATACAAACGTTTTATTTCGATTCAATTATATACAAATTCAAATTTTATGCAGATATACAAACACATAAAGTTGAATTGAGAGGTTGCCAGCTTATACAAACGAGAGGCTGCCAGCAATTTATACAAATGAGAGTCTGTCAACGATTTTATACAAATTTGTTGCCCCCAGCGATTTATACAATTTGATACTCCATAGAAAACATAAAGTTTGTTATGAAGCGTAATTATGCAAAATATAGTTATAACATACAAATATGATTTTTCTGTTTGTTAACTGTGAAAGTTGCTCTTTTATTTTCCATAAGATCCACACAAGGTGGAAAAGTATTGGGCTTAAAGAAGTGTAGAGTTGGGCTATGTACGCCAATAACCACTTTAGGATTGTTGTTTTAGATTTATCTTCTATGTAATATACACAAAGTATTTTAAATATAGCCAGTATTGTTTTCAAATACCATTTGTTCCCTATTCAAATTTAGGGAATGACGTCAATGACTCATCTATTTAGTAACTCCATCTATTTTGATCAGTTCAATTATGCTAACTAGAAAGGTTAGGCTAAAAATATTTAAAAAGGTGTATATTTGGTTGAAGTAGTCAACATAAAGAAACAAATTTTTATTTTTGAAAGAAGGTGGGATACACAAGAATCTAAGTGAATTAGAAAAAAACAAAATAAAGGATAAATTTTACTCTCATTAGCTACTTTGAAAAAAAATTAAAAAAATAAATTGAATAAAAATTAGACAAGTTAGGCTATGATAACTTATTTTAACCCAATCCACACTGTTTAAGTAATTTTTTTCAACTCATTTTAATTTATCTAAATTTAGCTCAATCCACACATTTGACACGTCTAAGTATTTTCCTTTCAAGTGTCCTTCCAATTCCATCATGTACTGAAAATAGATTTTGGACAAATAGATCAGCAAGTATATTAATATATCAATATAAATTGAACATGATATATATACTCTTAGAGAAAAATAATATATATATATATAAAAAAGTTTAGAAGTATTTAGATGCCTTTTTTACGATAATAGTTAATGTAAATCTACCTAATTAACCTTTGATTAATACAACACAAACAAGCTGCGCCCATTGTTTAATTAGCACCTGGTTAATATGTTTAGGTTAATTAAGCCACTACTTAAAGGATAAGTCTTGTCAAATTTGTGTAACTAATGTAAAGGTTAATTATCTTATAATTAATTTCATGACAAGACGTATCTATTTGAAATGGCCTCCATTATTCTAAACATGGACAAAATTAAAGTCACCAAACAGATAATTACAAATTATACAGTAATTAATTAAGTGAGTTTTAGTAAGAAGAGTTTAATTTTACAACTATCAACTTTAGTCGTATTCACTTTTTTATTATTATCACTTAGAAGTGAGAACTATGTATGTGGATTTTTATGTGAGCATATAATATATTTCAAACTCGAATAAATAAATAAAACTATCCTTATGCTAAACTCCCTCTCAAACTCGAATAAATTGAAATTTTGTGTTTGTGGGTAAATTGATTATTTTTTTTGGTAATAAATATAAATATTGCTATTAACAACTTTAGATTATCGAGAATGACCTTAGATAGATAGGTATGTACGACACACGTATTAGGGTAAAATGTTAGTGGAGTACTATCTCGCTTTCCGAGAGGTTAGGCTTATTGGTGTTTTGTTTGTTATACTGTTGTATTATTGTACTTCTTGTGATATTTATCATCGTATGATATTCAATATTTATTTTGTTTTGATTGTCGAATATTTTGTTATTTTTGTTTCTTTTGTTGTAGGGTTTGCACTACTCCCTTATTAGTTGCTATGTTTTTTACATTGTTTTTTTCTTCCTTGTACTTGGATTTGCTGCATTTAAGTCGGGGAATTTTTTAGAGACAGTTTCTCTACCTTCACAAGATGGTGATAAAATTTACGTATATTCTATCATTTTCAACCCTTATAAAATTTCACTGAATACCTTTTTTTATTTATTTATTATTATTATAAAATTAATACACCTAAAAAACACCTAACATCATAACCATCTTCTAGAAAGAGTCGTGATAATTAGGCCCCTAATAACACAAAAAATTGTTGTATCAAGATTTCACATTTAATAGCTTTTTCTTTGATTGTCTTACTATATCTAATCTAATAACAATATAAAAATATATTATTTTTGAAACGGTTCAAATAAATTGAATGCAATCCTTTTATTTTATTTTATTTTTGTAAAATGAGCTGACAATCAATTATTGGTTACTTTTTAAAAAATAAAAAATAAAAAATAAAATCCAAGTGACAAGGTTGAGAAGAATGTGTCATAGATAAATACACGAAAGTACAACTAATATACCAGCCAATAGAAAATAAAAAAACTATTGTCTAATTAAAACAAGATAGAGGGATATGAAAATGATAGAAAGAGACCATCAAAAGATGTGGTGTAGTATATCATTATTCTTTTCTTAATCAGATGTTTCAGATAAGATTGTTTCTTCTTTAATTAGAAGTTTCGTATTCGAGTCTTGAGTATAAAAAAATCTTTGATAAGGAGAATTTGAATTAATATAACTTTAATACATATATCAAATTTCAAATTAAAAGAATACTTTCTCCATTCCTTTTTATTTATCAAATTTTGATTAGGTACACCTATTAAGAAAATAATGATTGATGAGTTTACTATTTTACTCTTATTAATTGATGGGATCTCAAACATATTTACTCACTATATCCTTTATTGATTTATCAAAAATGACAAATAATATGAAAATTAAATTAGAAAATATTTGACAAGTAAATAGAGACGGAAGAGTAGTAGAAAGAGTGTTCACAATGATCTAAAATACTTTGAATATGACCTCAATTTCAGTATTTATTCAAAATTATTTGATTATATACAAATACATAAGGTCAATTTATTGGTTCACATGATACAAAATTTGTCCATATCCAAACAAACAAGTCAAGTTACCATTTCTTTAAAGATTAAACAAAATAAGAAAAATTCCCATCTTAGGTGGCGTGTGATGTGATTTTTGCTTCAAAGGATTGTCCAAAGCTAATATGTTGTTTTCTTACCTACCACTATAAACTATCCAAAAGCAGTTTGATACACAAAGTAATTCTATTTTATAAAATTTATAGAAAGATCATATTTAAAAGAATTATAATGTAAATATTCTATTATGACTAATATTACAGAATGAATTCATAATTTGTAAATAATATAACAATAATTTTATCGTTGCTTCAATCCTTTCTCTCTTCCAATCCAATGTATATTTTCTAAAAGAACAACTTGAGCAAAAAAGAATCACACCCCAAGGCTGCGTAATACAAACATGACCATACCTCCAATGCAAACTTGAAAGACTTGATTCATCGTTAGAATTCTTAATCTATAATTACACAAAAATAATTTTATCATTGCTTCGAAATCTCATCTCGTTAATTTCTATCTTCACCCAAAAATGTAACTACTACAACCACAAGAAACAACAATAGAACCAAGAACAAAACTACATAAGTTATGTTTCACCATTTGTTTTATTTTTAATAATAATTTGCTAAAAGGAAATACTACTAAAACTTTTTCAGAAATCATCACTACTAGCTATAAGTGTCATAAAATAAAAACAAAAAGTACCTACCCCAAAGCAAGAAAGATGAAGAATAACGTTTCAGAAATCTTAGTGACTCGATTGATTAATTACTTAAACTACAAGTGGAAATTCGATTCCTCATTTTTATAATTAATTTCCTCCCTAGAAAGAAAAAGGCAAAAGAACAATGTATATGAGAAAAAAAAACAAATTAAATTAAAATACTACATATATTGTTAAAATCCGACAAATACAATACAAATCCCAAAAAACTCATCAACAATTACAAATTACTAATTAGAAAATCTAATAACACAAACTTACATTACATCCTCATTGAAGTCCACAACTAAAAGATGAACATCAATAAACATAGGATCAAATCTATTCTAACCCCAAAAGAACTTACCAAAAAAAATAAAATTAACCCATTAATCCAATCAAAAAACTTGTTCCATTCCAGCAATAATAGTCTATGATTCAAAACGCCGTATTTTCATAATTACCCTTAAAAAAATAAATAAAAAATTCACTATTAGTAACTAATCTTCAAAACCAATTTTTTTCCAAATAGCATTTCTAACTCTACTTAAATCTCTTCCTTTTAATGTCCTTCCAATTCCTTCATGTACTGAAAATGAAGCAACTCTTGTTCTTGCTAAATACTCATGTGGTGGAATTCTATTTTCATTATCAGAATCTCCATCATCATCAAACATAATATTTTTTCCCAAATTACCCTTCTCATCACCTAATATTTTCGACCAATCAGGTATATTCACAGGCAACGACGTCGCATTACTCGCCTTTCTTTCGCCTTTTTTCGTCGTTTTCTTTGAAAATCTTGAGCTTGGTATTGATAATTTGGGTTCAAAACTATTAATTTCTTCCGAATTACTCCACATTTCAGCTTCATCAAATTCAAATTGGAGGGTGTTTGTGCTTGATGGGAGAGGGGTAATTCTGTCTTTTCCACCTAAGAAGAGGAAATTTTTGTTTTTTCTTGTTGTTGTTGTTGTAGCCATTGTTGTTGAAGGAAGAAAATATTGAAAAAGATGAAGAAGAAAAAGAAAGAGTGTATGGTTTGTTATTTTGTTAGGTATGTGAGTAGTTAAAAAAGTGTTCTTGTTTGATTGAAGTTAAGGGGTATATATATAATTGAGTTGTACTATTGGATAAGCTTTGTTTTAATTAGTAATTTATTTTTTTGGTTTTTGTACTATTGGTAGTACTAGATAACACTTTACCATCATTTGTGTATACAATTATGAAGACGGGATAGTGGTGCATTGGTGAGACTGTTTCATTTTTAGGAGCTTTAGTGTGAGCTTCGGACATCGGGTGAGAAATTAAAAAAAAAGTATACAATTATGAAGGATTTGTTTGTTGTGGTGGTGATAGAGTCAGAATTTTCATTAATGAAATTTTAAAATACAAAGAAATAAATTTATGAAGAAGTTGAAGAGTGTTCAGTATCTAATATACACATAAAAAAAAATTATAATCATGTATAGAGAATGTACTTTTCTTTTAAAGATGGTTCAGATGAACCCCTTTAGCCAAATACGATAGTTCAGAACTTGAATTGACACAAGTGTAACCAAAAAAATGCACATGAATCTCCTTGAAAAATAGAGTTTCGCCCTAGTTATGGATAAAAAATTACTTTATTTAATTATATAAGTTAATTTTGATCATAACATACTTAAGATTATACAACTTGTTAAGACTTAATAAAATTTAAGCTTCTTATAACTCATAAATGTGTGTAGTTACTTTATGGATTATAAGAATTAATCCATAATATTGAAACTTATTATTATATGGTAGATCTGACTTGGTATGCTAGACTTTTTATGGATGAAATAAGTTGAATGCTAGCTGTTTAGATAGAATAAAATTCAAATAAATTGACTTTTACTTCTTCTGACTCATCTTTTTATTTTATCTGCACAAAAATATATATTCAATGTACACGTGATCCTTCATGAAAAGTATCAAATGGAGGATCCCAATAAAATTATGGCATGGGTTCATATAGTTTATTTGCAGCTGCCTATGATCTTTTATTTTATGTGTCTCTTCATTTTCCCAATATAATTTTGGGTCTAATAAGATAAGGTTATAAGATTATGTACTAATATTTTAAATAAAAGCAACAATAATAGAGCATGTATCTATAACCTAGTTTAGTAGTGTACTAATTTGAAATCTAATAATGTTGTAAAAACTATTGAAAATCTATCCATAGAAATCATTTTCAAACTTTGACGCATCAACGATAAACTCAGAAGAGAATCATATTTAATAGAAATAAAGATATTAGGTGATATTTGTTTTACTGTCGTAATTTTGAATGTGGATACAATTATTTGATATATGTTACAAAGGTGATTAATATCCTATGAAATTAGTTAAGATGAGGCAAAGCTGACGTGAATGCTAAAATTATAAAATAAAATAAAATTATCGATTATAATTATACTTGTGTATAGTTTCATAAAATAAAATGTGGTTTGAAAAAAATATCTTACTTTAATTGTAGCTCGGAGATAAATAAATTGTTTTTGATAGATTCTGACTCACATATATAAATAAAACAATTAAATAAATAAAATTATACTCTTTCTAACAATTTAAAATTTAAATAAAATAATAACGTATATATTTATTTTTTTGAAAGAAATAAAGCTTCTGACATGCACTGTGATTTTGAATTATTATTTTCAGTACAATGAATCATCAAAGTTTCCATATAACCACAAAACTAGTTGTTGAAAAATTTCCAAAGAGTATTTCACTAACAACTACATATTTATTTGACCAATCAAATTTCGACAAGATATCAAACGTACGAAGCTATTGATTAAAATATTAAAAAATATTTGTCGAAAATTAGTATATAGTGTGCCGTCATATCAATGTCCTTTATTTGTCATATCGAATTATTCTTGATATGATCTATATAATATTATTAATCGTAAGTGTCTACTCATTTATAATCAACTCATAATTTTCTTTGTTATTTTAAGGACTACAAAACTATGTTCTAAAGTAATCTTTCCAATTATCAGGTATATATTCTTCAACTTTTCTAGCCCATTTTATTGATTGGTAGATATGGTATCTTTCAAAATTTATTAGAATTTTGAAGCACGAGTTATAATATAATCTACAGATAATTAACTAGTAACACTTGAATAAAGACGATTATGAGACTTTATCTGTAGAGGCAGATTTTAGATTTAAAGTTTATAAATTTTTATAGTAATTTTTCATTTACAGTTGATGATATCATTTAGTTAAATATATCACGTTACTTGTTTGTTTATTAAATGAAAATTTGACTTTTATCTTTTGAAATAATTTAATTTTAATTTCTTTTTACTTTACCACTAATAATATATATATTGGATCCCCTATATATATTTATCATCACAAAAATGTCATGTAAAAAATTTTCAACCACAACTTCAATTTTTTTCCTTTTTAAATTTGTGCTCAAACTCAATTATATGAGGATGACACGTCGAGTATTCGTAAGATCAATCATTGATAAGGAAAATTTATTATAAATTTTAAATGCTACAAAAGAAGATAGCATAGTTTATCCAAGAAAATAATAAATGAAAAACGTGGACCAATCAGTAGACAATAATATATTATGATGGACTTTATTTCTGTGGGTCATTCTTGTTTATTTCATCACATCACTATGACTTTTACAAGACACGAAAATGTTCTTTATCACGGAAAAATTGTGGTGAATCGATAAGCATTCTTTCATTTTTAGTTAAAGATTTCGTGTGTAAGTTTTCTTAGGTATGAAGTAGTTTCTGTTAGGGAGAAACTAACACTCTTCGCTTCCTCAATATGTAACTTTTTGACGTGAATTTAAATTTAATTGAACCTCTATACGAGACATCGAATGAAAAAACAAAAAATGTTCTTATCAAGACACGCGTCATGTTTACAAAAATTACTCATACTGCCTATAGTATAATTTTTCTTTGGAAACTTCTCGACTTACAAGTAACCTCTTTTTTTTTTGTTAGTTTCTTTACGTGATAAGATTAATTAATCAGTTCCAACTAATACAAATGTCATAGTACATATCATGTTTTGATAGTAGTTGAGTACCTTATTATTAATTTTGAGTTTTTTTTTAGTGTGATAAATTTTAAATAAAGTAGATTTAAGATTTTAAATTTATATATAGATTCTGATCTAAAAAATCGATGATAATAACCAGGTTCATTATTATTACAGATTGTTAATATATATAAATTTCTTAAGATAAATATATGATCCGGAGAAATATAAATTAAGTTTTTAGAATAAGTTCTAAGTAAATAATGTTAATTGCCGTGTGTGTATATATTAGAAAGTCTTAAACTATATATACCAAGTGGATATGTATGTACGAGCACGGTGCACCAACTTTGTCTAGGAAAAAGACTTTGTTTTTATCCAATTTATTGGTCTAAGTTGTTTTTAATTAAGAGTTATTTTATTCGTTTCTCGTTTAATAAATAAAATTTCATGCCATGAAATTTTGAAACAAGAAAGGCATTAATTATATATTCTTTATTATAATCTCTTGTTTATGTCAAAATTTATAATATCTCCGTCTACTTTTAATAATCATACTTTTCTTTTTAGAGTCAAACTATAAAAAATTTGACTAATATTTTATGATATATTTTTTAAGCATATTGATATGCAAAAATTGTAATTTATAGTACTTTTCGTATAGTTTTTAAATATCCAATTCTTTTTGTTTAAAATATCAAATTAATATGTTCGATATTTAAGTTCTTATTACTGAAAATTGTTAAAATTTTAATATTATAGGATCAAAATTAATTTATATATAGTGTCAAAAGTGCTATCAATAACCACTTAAAGAAGTGTTATCTAATTTTAGAAAGAAAAAAAAAACAAGATAAATATAAATTTCAAATTCTAATCTCACGTAGAGAGTTGCATCCAGTCATCATCGCATTATATGATATTCCGAATTTGGGTTACATCTATATTTCACTATTTAAAAAAAAAATATAACACTACTATAAATAATCTAAAAAAAAACATGAATTCATGTGAACCCAATAACGACTTAAATACGCTCCTGTATGTTGGCTTGTATGGTTTTTAGTATTATTATTAGTTAAAAGAAATATCGTGACATTTTCACACTTTTACATAGATGCGTCCCTCATAAAAATTTAAGTAGAGCCTGTTTGGATTGATTTAAAAAAAATAGTTTTTAAGTTAAAAATAAAAAGTCAAATTGAAATGACTTTTAAGTTAAAAAATAAAAAGTAGGGAAGATCTATTTTTGGTTTTTAACTTATTTTAAGTTATTTTTAACCTTGCCAAACATTTCCTAACTTATTTTAAGTCATTTTTGACTTATTTTAAATTATTATTTTTATTTGTCAAGCACTTTCATCAAAAGTCGAAAACTAACTTAAAAGTAGATTTTACCAACTTTTAAGTCAATCCATACACCTTCGTGGTAGTTGCATGTGAGTTGTGACATATTAGTAACATATTATTATTATTATTATTATTATTAGCCGCTTTGACTAGGAAAACATAGTAGGGAGGTGGGCATTAATTAGAGATATGGTCTATGCATGCATGCAAAATTAAAGCAAGTTCCCGTGTGAAACATGGGCAACTTCATTTTAAAAATAAAATCTTTTTTTAAAAATTCACATGTGTTCAATTAATTAGTATGCAACATTCATGAATGTTGAACACTTTCTACGTATACTAGTTGCATCATATATGTAACTTTATATATAATAAAATAGGGCGAAGCATCAAAAATACATCTAAGGTATCTTGATTTTTTGAATTTCATAATTGAATTATCAATTGTGTACATGAATTTTCTACTTAAATTATCACAAAATATTTATCGAAACATACCTCAATTAATTATTAGTTATCTGATCTCTTTTTCTACCTGAATGATGGTGGTATTTCATGTAGAAAAAGGGAACAACTGATATAGTAGAGGTTGTTAGGGTTTTGCCATGATTTTCTTACCTTATTTGAAATTTATTTTTCTCTCGAGGGAAAATCAAAATATTACTATAAATGCTTAACTTTTTCTGAAAGGA